GCTCCCCAATGAACGTGGAAGCCACAGATGCCCCACGTGGGTCTTCTGGTGTTTGTCACACATCCCTTGGAATTACTATTATTATTTGGTAATATTTTAAGGGTCGGTGAAACTTTAAATAGGCACAGAAGATCAGTCAGAAAGTCGTACTTCTGTGGATAGTTGTCTGTTCATATCATACGTGGCCAGACCTTTGGCCAGAGAACCAGGTCTCTGTTCTTCATGACCAAGCCTCTGGACAGCCTATACACACAGTGTGCTTTGTGATACTCTTATGAAAGTTTTAGGGTTCTAATGCCACAACTGATTTGAAATTCTTTCAATTAAAAATACCTCAATTCATAATTAAATCCATACCTGAGTACAGGTTCTACCATATCGTAAGTTGAAAGAAGGGATGAAAATGATTTGGGTAGTAAGAACATTTATTTTAGAGGTACTATTTTTGAGATCATTATATGGAAAGAGACGAGTGAGAAATGAGTATTAATCATAAGCTCTTTAAATGCCTTTATATAAGACAAAGAACTTATTTGACCAGAGTTAGCAAAAAGTAATTTTTTCTTTTAAGAGATAAGAATATTTTCTTATTTGCACTTGTCTTAGAGTTTGAAGATCAAGGAAATGGAGCAGAGAAAAATATTTGCAGTTTTTTTTTTTAAAATACATCACAGCCAAGTTGATTTGAGAAAATATTTTTTGGTTTTTATTTGTTTGTTTGTTTTTTTAAGACAGGGTTTCTCTGTGAAGCCTTGGCTGTTCTGAAATTCTATTATATAGACCAGGCTGACCTCGAACTCACAGAGATTCATCTGCCTCTGCCTCTTGAATGCCACCATGTCTGGCCTGATTCTGATAAATATTTAATCAGGCATTTAAAGTAGAACAAGTTGAAAATTCTTGCCTAGGAAATTGGCTGAGAAGTTGAAAAATAGCCGAATACCATGAGACAATTTTTAATATAGCAAAACTGTGTATCTAAAGAGTAAACATTTTTGACTCTATCACAAAGTCTGAGTTGTAGATCATTGCCAATGCCAAATGCCCTGCTCCTGCATCCTACTTGGCCTTAATCAGAGTCCCCTCTCCCCGTAAGCCCTCTGCATACCTCGGTGTTTGAACGGCGGGCTGTGTGTCACTCCTGGCTTTTGCATCTGCCCACCTGGATTCTATGGAGTCAACTGTGATAAAGGTAACAGGACTTCGTTTCATTTTCTGTGTTATTTTTAATATTTATTTATGTGTGTGTGTGTGTTTGCACATGTGCATCTGAAGGCCAGAAGAGGGCAATGGGACCCCCTAAAGCTGAAGTTACAAGTGGTCATAAGCCTCCACGTGGGTGGTGGGACTCAACCCCTGTTCTCTGGAAGAATAAACTGTGTTCTTAACCACTGAACAGTCTCTCCAGCCTCCCAAAGATACATCCTTGGTGTCATCCCTTTGTAAACACGGTATGTCGTGTGAAGTGAAGATGACTCCTCTACTAAGTGGGACCCCAGTTGGGGTATTACTTAACCCAGCGGAAGTTTAGTTTTACGCCCAGAGTGCTTCAGTGCAAGAATATACACGTCAGTAACCTGAGCAACATCCACCTGTGGTCCCCAGACAGGGTAGAAAGAGAGGGAAAATCCGTATGGGGACAAAGGATGCCTCTCGTCCAGCTGAGAAGCAAGACTTGGGCCCGGCACAGTTAATATTTGCTATGAAGGTTGCTGACATACAAAAACAATTCCCTTCCTAGGTACTTTATGTTAAAATAGCAGTGAACCAGACTTAAAGTGTAGGGCCTCATTCAATACTCTAATTGCAAGAGGTCAGGTGCCTCCCTCTAAGTACAGCCGCGGTACATTAGATTTCACTTACAGAGAGTGGATACAAACTTAGCCCTGAAACTACCTGACTACTTAGCCAGCCCAAAACTCTTCAGTGGGTAAACCTTTTCAAATACTCTGGAAAGTATATGCATTTAATGAAAGTGTCCTAATATCCATAATTGTATTTGCCACAGACTATTGATTTTTATTAATAAAATATGCTTTAGACAGAATAACAAACACTGATTTTAACTAGTGTCTCTAGTGATCAGTCACTCAGCATGGAGCACTACTGCAGCTCAGTTTCCTGGTTGGTTGGTTTGCTTTGTGTGTGTGTACGCAGTTTCCTAAAAAGGAAAAAAAGTTGAGGCGAGGAGTTCTTGGCGTGAGTTGAGGAGTGATTGAGTGTCTTAGGCTGTCCAAACAACTGTCACATGACTGTCTGGTCACATTCTTGACACCGTTGAGAAACCAAAGCATTACACAGTTCACTCCCAGAGAGCTGCCCCGAGGTTTACACAGTGATGTGGGAGGTCCTTCTGAATATGTGTTGCTTTTATTGGTTGATGAATATTATCTAGCTTGAATCGCTCGGCCCAGATTTCATCCCCTCCACGGAACCACTCCACCTAAGCAGGTCCCAGCCTCTCCCGAGTGACCTGAGACTTGGCAGATAAGATAACTTGGGTCATAAGCTTTTTCTCTTTGCCCCCTATCGATTCTTGGAATGGGATAGCATCTGAAAGCATTTGTATCTTTCTTTTTTTTGTTAAACCACAAAAATTAGATTTAAAATATTTTCAATACATATTCCTAAAGACTAAGACCTAGTGACAGCAGTAACTTTTAAGAGCAAGTCAGTAAAATTACTCGAGTGTATCTTTGTTTGCTCAAATTTAGTGTTTGGTATTTATAGCATTTCTGCTATTTGAAAACCAGGCATTTCTTGGAACGGAATAAAACTCAGACTCTAACAGAACTATTGGAAGTAAAGCAAACCTTCAGACACTTGAACTGACACACACACACAGAATTAACGAAATGATTAGTGATACCTGTCTACCTGTGGCCATTATTGCCATGGCTTATACGATGAAAAATCTACTGAGATCTTTTATCCGATCTGGGCTGACTCACCCCTCTTATGTAACCTGGTGGCTCCCTCCTCCCAAGAGGTCACTAATGCCCAACTTAACACAGACAGAGAACAGGCATAGCACGATACTGCATAGAACTCCTGGACTCGAGAGATCCTTCTGTCTCGTAAGTGGCTGCACCACTGCGCTGACTATTGTGATACACACACACACACACACACACACACACACACACACGGGTGTGTATGTGTATGCATATATACACCTATCTATGTGTTTATACATACATAACCACAATATACATCACACACACACACACGCACACACACATATATGTTACAGTGTCACAAATACTTCAGAATCATGAAGGAAAAATATACATTTGTAATACAGAACATCTTATATTCCATAATACTTTGACTTTCAAATGAAAGATTTTCCTACATGTTAAGAATTCTAGTAATTTTTAAAAAACTCATTTGGAAAATCTGTTGAAACTTCATTTGGTCTCACTGGAGATCTTGGAACATAAAACATTAATTTTTACTGGCTCAACAAAAGATTCTTTTATTAACCACGAAGGAATATGGAGCTGCTGAAAAATGGTTTAATTACTGGCACAGAGCTAGACTTTAACACTATACTTTGGAACAAACATTAAGGAATCACGTCCATTGGCCTTGGGGACATCTGCCGCAAACTTTAGGAAATGACCAGCAAGCACTGCCCAATCTACTCTCAGCCACAGTGAAATTTAGTTAGCGTCTCTGGTTCACGGCAAACCAACATTTGGATTAGTTCACTTTCTGTTGCGATAGCAAAACCCAGAGACTCGGGGTTCACAAAAACGGTGAGGACAATTAGCCTCACAGTGTGGAGTTTCAGTGTGCCATCTGTCTGGCTCCAGCGAGGGCCTCAGGCTACATCACAGTGTTGAAGTCAGCACGATTGTGGGAGTATCTTGGGAGAGATTCCACGGCAAGACCAAGCCAGAGACCTTCAAGCGCTGGGCAGCCCTCTAAGAACTCCTGAGGACGATCCCAGTGACCTAACCACAACCCGTTAGATCCCACTTCTGAGTGGTCCACCCTTCTCCACGCCGTGCTCTGCTGACCAAGCTTGCAGCGCATGGACCCACAGCCAAACCATGACAGGAGTGTTGAAAACCTTGGCCAAGATGACAGAAGCCATTGAACATACTGAGAATACGGACAAATTATTGAGAATTGCCGTGATGAGACACACGGCCCAAAGCAAACCGGCTCCCACTTTTGTACCATGGGAGGAAGTCAGGACAGGAACTCAAGCAGGGAAGGGACCCGGAGGCAGGAGTTGAGGCAGAGGCCACGGATGAGAGCTGCTTACTGGCTTGCTCATCGTGGCTTCCTCAGCTTGCTTTCTTACAGCACTGAGGACTACCAGCCCAGGGATGACCCCCCCAACAATGAACTGGGCCCTCCCTCATCAATCGCTAATTAAGAAAATGCCCTACAGCTGGATCTTAGGGGGTCTTTTCTCTCCTATGACTCTAGCCTGTGTCGAGCTGACATAGAGCTAGGCAGGACAGGAGAGGTATCTGTGCTTGTAATTCCTCATTCTGGTGTGTGAGACAGAATCGTGTGTTAAGGACGAGCAGGGTCTGCATAGCTGTCTGTTAACTGGAGAAGAAGGGCGTAGGAGGAGGGCAGTCAGATTATATAGCCAGATTTAGTAGTTCTATTTGCAGTGTGTTGTCTAGCCCACTGCCCTTTCTTCAGCAGGGGGCGGGGAGGGCAGGCAAACATTGATCCTAACCTTCTCTCGCTCTCTCATTCTGAGAAGACGTGGACAAGTGGGGAGACAGGACTCACTCATAAAACCCCAACAACACTACTGCCACGTGGTGAAGAGAGGGCCGATAGTACTGGATTTCCTAAACTCTAAATCCGTACCAGAAGGGGACTCTGTTCATTCCGACATCAGGATGCTAAGTGCACAGTTACCTGCAGCTGGGAAGGGTTTGTCATTTGGGATGCTCCCTAACACATTTAAGAAGCCCCGTGTCCGCAGAACGTCTTAACCGAACTGACTTCCACAAAGCACAGACACGTTCACACCGGAAGCCTTTATTTATCTGTTTTACAAGTCACCAGTACAAAACCAGGACATATGAACGAAATTTAAAAGAAAAAAATTCTAAGCACTAATCTTTAGTTTTCAGCTTTTTTGAGGCAAAGTTCCAAATAGCCACATACGCCAGGCCAGCTTCTAACGCACTATGTAGCCAGAAACAAACCCGACCACCCAGCCTCTACTCCCCTGGATTCCGGGACTACAAGCATACACTTTACCCCCAGCCCAAGCTCCTATTTTAATCTTCTTTACCGAGTGAGCGAAGCCGTCCACTTTTCAGTTTCCTCCTATTCCCATTTCTCTATCCTCCAAAGATCAATGAAATTCAAGAAACGGACACCAAGAGGGAGGGGCTTAGGATGCGTCACAGCTCCTTGATTGGATTTTCACCATGTCCATCATCCTGCTTCACCTCCCGGGCTCCATCATGGCTCAGCCTCTTCCTTAGGGCCTCACAGGGTTTTCAGCCTGTCTCTCTGCATGCAATTAGTCAAGACTCCCTCCAAGTCCCATGACAGTCTCTCTCTCTCTCTAAATCCCATTCGTTCAAACGAAGCTCCGTTCTTCTGAGGGTTGCCTCCTCCTCTTTGGGCCTTGACACTTTGACACTCTCTCCCCTTTATCTAATCCAAATAAGTTTTCCCCCTTTATCTTCCAACTTGATGCTTTTGAAAGGTATTTTCTTGGATTTGCAGATTCTTCTTTTTAGCACTAAGTTTTTATTTAAAAAGACTACTTTTTATATATTATACCTTTTAACAAAATTAGGAATGAATACATTGTGTGATGCCCTCTTCTCTCTTATGTTCTGAGAGTCTTTGTAATTTGACTGTAATTATAATTTGAATTGGTTATTTCAAATAATGGGGTGTTTGGTCATAACTTTTTTCAAACTGTAAAGTGGTGTGTTTATTATGTAGCTGAGAACGTGTTAGACACATGCTGGAGAAATATCGTTCACTTGAAGTGAAGTTCTTGCTAGGCGTGCCTGCCTGTCTAACGAAGCACCCTGTCATCCATTCTAACAGTCAACTGCTCGACTACTTGCCTTAATGGGGGGACCTGCTTCTACCCAGGAAAATGCATTTGCCCTCCAGGACTCCAGGGGGAGCACTGCGAGATGAGTAAGTACAGATCTCGGCGTCTCGATGGCCTGGTGGGGGGGTTGCTGAAAAACTGTCTCGTGCCTGCTTTTGCCACTGAAGCCCAGACAGGATGGAGACCTTGTGTGAAATCATAGGCCAGTGTCTCTTCCCTAGATTCCTCGGGCACTCCCTTGTCTAAAAGCAAGGCTAAGAAACGTGGCGCTTGTCCCAGAGGCTCAAGACAAACCCACAAGCGCGGAGGGTTTTCATTATCATCCTAGAACAGACTGACTCATCTAAGAGAGTGGGAAAGAAGGAGAAGTGAACACTGCACAGCGATTAAAACAATAGCCCAGCCTCCTAAGCGACTCCCAGGGACACATTATACAAAAGGAGGCGGACATGCGGGGGGGGGGGGGGGGGGGAATGAGTCCACAATTTTCAAGTTCAAGAGGCAAAACTAACGGATGAAGTGGTAAAAACTGGAGTTTCTATTGGGGGTCAAAAGGAACCTTATGGGGTGCTCAAAATGTCTTCAATAGCAGTGTTTCTTGAGTGCTCAGATTTAAAAAAAAAAAAAAAGGTGGAGCTGTGAACCTTAAAACCGACACTCATTCCGCCCACACTGTGTTGTCTGTCATGCTTCAGTACAAAAGCTGAGCAACGGTCTCGGCTCTGCCACCCACTGGCTCTACCACCTACCAACTGGCCAGTGCTCAGGTCTCTCTTTGAAACTCAGACATGAACCAATTCAGTCCAAGCCGCACTATGACCCAGAGGACAGCTAGCATGAAGGCCCACGTCCAGGCAGGAAGGCAGCCGTCAGGCGTGCCTGCTGAGGGGTCCCCTTCTGCCCCTTGGATGCGTGTCGAGGGCAGTCCTTCCCAGCTTCACTGCCTCTAAAGCACTGTGTTTGGTGTGGCCACTGTTTCCAAAGCTGAGGTAGATTCCAAATTGAATAATGCTATGTTTCTATTTTAACTTTCAACCTCTAATTTATTTGTGGGTTTTTGTACTTTAATGAGTAGTAGATGAAGTAACCGTTTTTATAGAGTTCAAATGAAATCGCTCTGAAGTTTCCATCGAACATGTAATTAATTGCCAGGATGTGGTTTCTGTTCTTATTAATTACTCTTTCCTGATAAAGACATCTTGAGCTAACTCCCCTCAATTTTTTTCCCGAAGCTCAGCCCCAGACGTGGCATGCTTTGTTTACGAGTCTTTGTTTGTGGCCTCATTTCACGTAAGGGCGCCTTTTCATGACTGTGTGTTCATGAGCCTTCCTCCGGCGCAGGCTGGCTGTCTCCCTCCCTTTCTTTCTTCTCTCCTCTCCTGCCTCCACCTTCCCTTCGCTTCTGTCTTTTTTTTTTAAAAGTTCTAACTGGACAAAAAAATGTAGGGTTTTGAAAACTCATCATAGATCTGACAAGTTTTATTCAAATTCCTTTAAAAGAAAACTTCCTGTTTCAATGAAATGGAACATTATTAGAACAAAACAAAACAATACAGCAACAGGTCTGTGGCTGAAGTTCCTCTGAGTGTACAAATTAAAGGCAGAGTTGAACTTATTTTTTAGTGAATGTATAGTTCACATACCATAAGATGCAGCTTTTTAACGTGTACCATCCTGCAGATTCTGCCATCACCTCAGTCTGATTTCAGAGCAATTTATGACCATCCTAAATACGTGCTTATACTTATGTTTATTAGAAAAGTCTCCCAAGTCCCCTCGTAATCCCAGGGTCTGAAAACTAGCAAGTCACTTTCTAGCTCCCTAGCTTGGTTACTCTAAACACCTCCTAGAAATAGGGTCATATAAAATATAGCATCCCTGTTGCCTCTTTCATGAAAGGTCACTGCTTTCAAGGACTGCACCTGGCACAGAATATGCCAGTGCATTGCTCCTTTCTGTGGCAGAGTGACGTCCAGCTGTGTGGATAGACGCCACTTGTCAGTTCATCTACCAGCTGGGGAAGATCTGAGTTGTTCCCACATGGGGGTTATATAAACAACATGGTTGTATTTGTGTGCATGTCTCCATGCAGACAGGTTTGTATTTGTAATTCTCTGTGTGTGGGAGGGGGGGTCCCACAACATGTATGTGGAGATCAGAGGACAACTCTTGGAGAGCTGGCTCTCTCCTTCCACCTGGGGATTGAACTTGGGTCTTCTGGATTGGTGGCAGGTGCATGTCCCTGCTGGGCCATCTTGCCAAGTTTGCATTTCTTTCGGCTGTTTACCTAGGACCACAAGGGAACAAGTTCACGGAGGAGTTATCTTCAGATTGTTTCTCCTTTTCCAATCCGCCCGCAACACTGCCATCTCTCTACACTCTCACCAAAACCCACCTTTCCTTCTTAAGGAGACATGTTCTACTATCTGTCAGGCTAGCTTACTTCCGCCAGTAATGACACCTTCTCAAACACCACTGAAACTGATTTGTGAGATGCTGGTACTGGGTCAGCCAGACTGTTCTGAGAGGCGTCTGGAATGCCAACTGTGCATACATCTTGCTATGTAAGGCTTACAGGTTTCCTAAGAATCTTTAATAGAACTTCAGTTTAAAAAGGTCACACAAATTACTTATATCCTATGATAAATAAGTTTAAAAATAACAGGCCCTTGTTATAAAAGTTCTCTGCAGAAAAAACATTCCAAGGCCCACACCTGGTACATCTCTTTCCTCTTGTTGTCTGTGAAGTAGAATTACAACGTTAAGTTATCCCGCAGTCTCACAAGTGGAGGATGTCTGAGGTCTCCACATTGGTCTGGTGTTGTTCTTACAAGGACTCCTCCATGGGTTGTACTAAAACACTAATAAAACTCAGTGAAATCTCCCTTAGCCAACACTCCTTGAGGTTTTGGTAGACCTATTTCCAACCAATATAATGTGGCTGCAAAGTATTTTCTGGCAAAAGAGGTTAGTAGTAAGACACTTGGCGTGTTCTGAATACTAAATAATCAGATGGTGATAGCTGATGCTTAGTCTTTGAACCAACTCTGTCCTAACAGCTCCCTGCAATCACGTTCCTGGCACTGAGAACCTGGGGAAACCTTCCTAACCTCCCTCCTGGCTCAGACGAGCCTAAGAGTCTTCGTTTCCCTCTTACCAAGAACACAGTCAGTCAGTAGACTCAGGGGAGGGCTCTTCCAGTCAGCCTGCCTTGCTCCAGATCACCAGCTTCACCCCCGCTCCCATGGAGCACAGAGCTCACCAACTTGTTGACACAGAAGAGCAACGGATTGCTTCTGGCTGAGTAATGATCACATTGGAGCTGCCTTGATCCAGTTTTGTGGCTGTGCCGGCCGGGGTCACATGCTCTGTAGCACGAGTTCTAATAGGTCTTAATAATAAAAGCCCAGCATCAAATATTGGGGGAAATTTCAAGAGATCAGAGAGACAAAGGAGCAAAACCACAGCCACCTCACCTCTCCACTTCCCAGCAGAAAAGAGACTGAGTTCCTGTTTCCTTCCGCCTTATTACTTCCTCTCTCTGCCCAGCCATATCACTTCCTGTCTATCTGTATAGACCTCCAGACTGCTATGGTTAGCTTGTGGCTAGCTCCACCCTCTGATCTTCAGACAAACTTCATTTGTACAGACGAGATATCACCTCAATGCTCTGTTGGAAGTTTGGAGTTAAAGTCTTTCATATAAATGGTGTTCTTCAGAAAATAGGACTCTTTGGGACTTTTGGTGGTCAATAAGAAGGTGATCTTTGAGACTGTGAATGAAAGGTGATGCTTGGAACTGAGAATGTAGCTTAGTTGGGACAAGAGTACTTGTCCAAAGTGCACAAACCCTGTGTTTGGTCCCTAATACTGAGTAAAACTGTCTATAATGGTGTATACTTATGACCCAGCACCAGGAAAATGGGGGTAAGAAGATCAGAAAGAAGTCAAGGACATCCTTAATGACATAGTGAATTGAACTAGAAGCCAGTCAGGTCACATGAGTCACTGTCTCAAGAATGAGGGAGGGTGAGCTTTAAAGGGAAAAAAAGCTGAATTCTTGTCTATTACAGAGCCTTTAACCTCCCAACCTTGTTGTGAGTATATTGTCTTTGTTGCTAAGTGGCTTTGTCCAGTTTATAAACAAATAGAGTTCTTTCAGAGAAGTGAAAAGTAAAAACTGAAGTGTTTGTGGCAAAACAATATTCACATGAAATTCAATTCTTTTGTTAAACAGTGCTTGTTAGTAAAGGGCATTATAGTTTGCTTCGTCTCAAACTTTCTTAGGCCATAAAAAAAGATTTAGTAAGTGAAAGTTGAGTTTGTTAATGGTAATGATTTCAAAATAAAAGAACAAGAACAAAAACTCAAACTGAGGTCTAGTGGATGCTGGCTGTCTTTGGGCTTGGCGCTTGGCAGGATGTGGCTTCAGCTTGGGTTAACAACCCCTTATCATTACTTCTAAGAAGTCATCCTTCAAATGAGAAATTCTTGATTGTCAAGGAAAATAAACATTTGTAGTGTGAGAAAGGAGAATACTGTTGCGTAGTTCTTACATCTCTGGTCCTGTTCCAGTTCTAAAATCCTAGGATTCAAAGCTCTGTGTAAACATCGGGGGTGATTCATTTCATAACATAAGTGGAGGTATCAGGGAGAACGATGCTTCCTCAGGCTCTCGGACAGTCCATAGAATGGATAGCTGTGGCTCCGGGGACCAGCCCCTCACCCCACCCATTGCTATAGCAACCTGTGCTCCCATCTGATCTGTTCCATCCACGTTCCTTCCACCAGGGGCATCTCTGAGTCCCTATGCATTACATGCTGCCATTCCACCAGGGATGTAATGAATCCTCTCCGAAGAACAATAAACAGTGGGCATCAGAGGTCCATAAACAAATGCCCCCTCTACTCTTTTCGGTCAACTCTCATGTGCTTCTGATATAATCCTTGGGCAGACCAGAAGAATAGGATCCAGTTGCCCATCATGGTGGCTGACCTGCAAGCACATTTCTGTGTTCTCTTTTCCCTCCTTCTCTGCTGCACCATGCAGGCCCCTGTTCCTATCTCCAAGGTTCACTTCCCCTGGTTAAACTACCTAGATGCAAACTTTCTTTCTGAAAGACGATGCCCAAGTAAGACTGTCATCAGATGTGGGTACAAACAGGCCTACCTCCAGAAAAAGTAATCTGCAAAAACCAGAAGTTGTAGAAAATTTCTCATAGTGAGTCAGTCACGGGTGAAATCCTAGAACAGTGTGTGTGGAACTGCAGGCATGTCTGAGCCAGGCTAGCTTGAATTTTCTGTTTCGTGAAGTATATTCATTATGGGAAAGAGGGTATTATATATATATATATATATATATATATATAACATAATAGGATATAATACAATTCAAATAACATATAATATAATGTATATCATCATGTCAACATATTAGCTTGTCTCTGAAACAAAAACAATATAAAAGCCAGAGGAGGCCTAAGATAAATGGAAATGGCTGCCATTTCAAAGCATTTCTCCTCTCAAAGCCTTTTCACTCCTTTGAAAGATGTAATTACTATTGAATAAAGCCCTGGGCTCCTTCTTACTTAACTAATTTCCTCTCTACCGCAGGCAAATGCCCACAGCCCTGCCGAAATGGAGGGAAATGCATTGGTAAAAGCAAATGCAAGTGTCCCAAAGGTTACCAGGGAGATCTCTGCTCTAAGCGTAAGTACCATGCATGGTGCGATATGGATGCAGGGTGACTGCATTTAGTGTCTGTGGATATAACGTCCATGCCTGCTGCATGCTGTCTGGGCACCAGAGCTGACCTTTCCCCACTGGTTCAGAGGCTTCCTTTTCTTAGACCATGGGCATTGTAGGGATCCCTGAATATAAAATATTTATGCACATGGCTAAATTCTTTCATTTTTAATTTTGTTTGTTCTATCTATTGGGGTTTCTTGAAAGGAGTAATCGCCCACCATCCAGTAGTTTCAAAATCTTCCTGAGGGTCTTTGTATAAAGATCATTCATAAGGATTTTTCCCCAACTTTAAAGCTGACTTTTGGCTGGAAAGTGACTAAGACAAAAAAACAGAGAGAGAGAGAGAGAGAGAGAGAGAGAGAGAGAGAGAGAGAGAGAAGCCAAAACTAACATATTCTAGAGAACTAAAGGAAAAGCCGCTATGTAGCTGTGTTCTAAAGAGAAAGGAATAGGAATTGGAGGAAGCATTGCTCTGCTCTGTTCTGATTCTAGCCGTCTGCGAGCCTGGCTGCGGAGCTCACGGAACCTGCCACGAGCCCAACAAATGCCAGTGTCGAGAAGGCTGGCACGGAAGACACTGCAATAAAAGTGAGTAGAGGGCCTTGGATAACCTGCAGCTCAGCCCTGCTAGGTGGCTATGTCATTAGCGACAGTCTCTGCCCCTGCTCCCGTGCATCTCTCTCAACTTCAAAGTCAACTAAGCTCTGGAATAGAAGAAGGCATATAAAATGCCACCAGATCCGTTAAAACATCATCACGCATATTCTCTACGTCAAATTAATAATGCAGGATAGTTCAGTAATTCAGTGTATTGAAGGAATAATTTGATTAGCTAAAGTTTGTCCTTCCTTCCTTCCTTCCTTCCTTCCTTCCTTCCTTCCTTCCTTCCTTCCTTCCTTCCTT